TTCAGATTGTTTAAATCTAAAAAATCATCGCTTATAACACTGTGCATCATTCTTACGGTTTTGGAGTGCATATGCAGTTTGATTTTCAAGTTCTGAAAGTAGTAATCGAATCGAGTTAGATCTCATTTAGCCTTCCTTTACGTAAGCTCGCGATTAGATATTAAATCAATGTAAGGATTGCAAGTAAATTGGTTAAATCTTATGAGCCGACGTCAATTTTCTGTTCATGTCTTTAGGATTATTTTAGGTATAGACATAAAGATTAAAAAAGGCAAGCCAAAGTTTTTTAAAAAAATTCTCCTATCGGTAAATAGGATTTATAACTTGCATTCAAATACCAACTTGTATACTTCCATTGCATATTTGCGTTAACTGTTTGACATTCGCTGTTCTAAAACAAGTTAATAATGCTTTATACTTCTCTATGTTTTTGACTAAAATGTCATTGACGACTCTACCATAAATTCGAATGGCCTTAAGAGATGGTGCCCTTATAATATATAACTCGAAGACAGTAACGCTCAGTTTGAAGACGAGATCACTACCACTGCACCACAGAGCTCGGGGTTAACATTTAATCTTTAACTAAAGACAAACAAAACAGGCTTTAAGGCACAAACATTAAAAATAAAATAATTTAAGCTTAAACTTACAAATTTTATTTATTAAATAATTCCAAACTAAGTCAATTTGATTATAAAGCTTACGCAAAAGAGGGCTCCTTGAGGGTTTAAACCCAAGCCGTTCAGATAAAAGTGCAAAATACGATGCAAAGTACCGCTAGGATACCCATTTTCGAACTTTTGTTACAATTTTAGAACGATCGCCCGTGCGTTTAGAAAAGTAAAAGCATCAAATTTAGGGCGATATGCCATTCAATTAAGAAAAGGTTAGACGAAGCAAGTTCTGATCAAAATCACCCTAAAAATTAAAACAATGCATCCAAAAATTGTTTTATTATGATTGCGATTGATTTTTGTGCGAATTTTTCTTGAATTTAAAATTTTTGTAACAGTTTATTGGATAGTTTTTTTACGGCGATTTTCCAATATTTCGAAAATTGAATTGGATCAAATTTATTGACTTTCTGAAAAGCAGCGAAGTGTCGCCCATAGCAGTAACGACGCGGAGTATATGGTTCTTGCGAGGAGGACATATTGATGCACCGACTCATTAATGAAATGGGTAGCGGAGACGAGAAGACCCCAATCATCCTGTGATTGGATTGTTTGAGTTCCCAAGCGCTGGCCAAAATGTTTTCAAATGATTAACATTTAGATAGGTATTGATCAATACCTTTACTTTTTGACTTTCAGACACATACTCCAAAAGTCTAATAAGATATACATTTATTTCTTGCAAAAGTAGTTCGTAGAAGAAGTCAGAGGAATTGTTATAAAAAATCGTAGAAGTGGTTTTAAATTAAACAAAAACAAGAAAGGAAGTTAAATTCGGCAAGCCGAAATTTGTATAAACTAGCAGTTATAATTATAAAATGTAATTCGAAATTCTTAAAAATACAAAAAATTATATTCCCAATAGTATAAGATAATATGTCAAAAAACACCGAAGCTATAATTATACCCGTTACTCGTAGAGTAAAAGGGTATACTAGATTCGTCGGAAAGTATGTAACAGGCAGAAGGAAGCGTTTCCGACACCATAAAGTATATATATTCTTGATCAGGATCACTAGCCGAGTCGATCTAGCCATGTCCGTCTGTCCGTCTGTCTGTCCGGATGAACGCTGAGATCTCGGAAACTATGGGAGCTAGGCTATTGAGATTTGGCGTGCAGATTCCTGAGCTTCTTACGCAGCGCAAGTTTGTTTCAGTACAGTGGTGTTTTTTAACATATAACCTCATAAGTTTAGAAATAACATTTTTGAATTTGTTTTGAATTTCGTATTTAATTTAACAAAAAGTGAACGACTATATCATATAGCTGCCATATGATCGATCTGAAAATTATAGCTTCGGTGTTTTTTAACATGTACAGGGTATTCCCTAAACAGCAATTAAGGGAATGACCCTAAAAGTTCCCTGTTGAATTTTCTATTTTAAGATGCCAGCTGTTTGTCAGATTGTCAAATAGCCAGGATATGTTTACCAAAGATTATGTTTAAAATTACGGAAAATGCCGAGAATATGCCAAAAACTAAACTATTAGAACTCCTAACAGGCAGCGTCCTATCAGATACCCTTTATTTGCATATTTTATACGATTGCAATTTCTCCATGTTTACAATTGACCAGAGTTACCGTCTTACTTTTAGTCGAGAACAGCGACAGCCCCGAGGCTGTTGAATTGCTTAAACTTCTGAAAGTTGACTTTGTGTGGAACAGCTGATTAACAGCTGACCAAAATTCAACGATTCAGCGATTCAACAGTTTAGGGAATTATCTTATATTATTGGGAATATCAGTTTTTGTATTTTTATACTGTCGGAAAGTATGTAAGAGGCAGAAGGAAGCGTTTACGACACTATAAAGTATATATATATATATACACCAGCCGAGTCGATCTAGCCATGTCCGTCTGTCCGTCTGTCTGTCCGTCCGGATGAACGCTGAGATCTCGGAAACTATAAGAGCTAGGCTATTGAGATTTGGTGTGCAGAATTCCTTGTTAAGAATACTTTATGGGGACAGAAACGTCTTCTTCACTGCGTTGCAAACTTCTGACTGAAATCAGAATACCCTTTGCAAGGGTATAAAAAATCATATCTTTGGTAATAATACCCTCTTCAAGGGAATAAAAAGAAACGAAGTCAATTAGATTACTAAATCCGGAATTAGAGATGTTTAAACAGAGGATTTACTTTGTAATTTGACATTGAGTGGAACACTTCTTATTGTTGCTAGCAAATTTCAGAGATATTCGAAGTTTTGTACTTACCAATGAATAAATATAAATAGAAGGAATATATTTAGATATCAGCATGTGAATTTACAATTTATTTAAATTTTATTTCTATATATAGTATATTGATTTCTTTTAAATGAATCGTATAAATTTACAATACATATACATATGAGGAAAATGGCCAACAAAAAAGCTTTTTCACAATTCACCCTCAATGTAGTTATTTAATACAATCCTTTTTGACTTTCCAGCAAAATGCATTTTTGTTTTAAAAGTAACAATGTTCCATGATTACAGATTTGGCATAGCTGTAAGGGAGTTTAATTAGTTGTGTTAATGTGCCTTTATAAGATTGGTATGATTTTATGTATATTTTCCATTTGATTTAACATTTTTTTTTCGAGTACCAGTTATGATTTGTGAATTATCTCACATCTTAAATCCGACCTACAATAATAATTTTATGTACAAACACTTTAATAATTACGGTATTTAAGAACTTTAAACATCCAGAATTTTTTGTAGGGGTGTGTAGAGTATGGTGACGAACGATTCTTTTTTTTAATTGCCACTTTTTCAAAAATAAATATTTTTTTAAAGTTTAAAAGCAGAAAGTTGCTGTCATCTATTGAGAAAATTCCTGTTGAAGTTCGATGGTAAAATTCAAGATTTGATGAATCCTTTTTTTTTAACTTTTTAAAGATGTAGGTGTAAGATATCGAACTCATAAATAGACAAAAGTACTCTAGCATATGTGAAAACTATTTTTATTTATTTCAAAAAAAGTTGAAATGAATTACAAATTTAGATGTACTCTTAAAAAATGTCTATTTTAGTTCTGGGTTTCAATTAAACAAACTCAGTTGTTTGATTTTTTAATCACAAAAATTAACAAAAAGTATTTTTTTCTAATTATTGGCTTTAGAAAAGATAAAATTAGCGGTATAATGTCAACACATACGGGAAGAATTAAATCTATTTACTTTACAAAATGTGTGTCATGATACCCTACCAGGTACAAGCCTCTTCTTAACCCATTTAGCAAATTTAAAATCTACTTTTTAAACTTATTTCCACGATTTAAAAACAAAATGTTTGATGCAAAAAGGTTTTATAAACAAAATAAATAGTAACTGCCAAATTTTTTTTTAAAATTTATTTTCTAAATTTTTTTTCTGATTTTTTAAAAATGTGTAAATGTTTGCATTTGGTTCAAATTTTTCTCTTTTTCATACTACATTTTTCTGAGATCATCATATCAAACAAGGAAGAACGCTAAAGTCGAGTACCTCGACTATCAGATACCCGTTACTCAGCTAAAAAGAGATATGCAAGTAGCAAAGCGAGATTAAAATGCACCACCTATGGGCGGTATACAGATTTAAGCGTTATGGGCGTTAGAGTGGGCGTGGCAAATTTTTTTTTGGACCAATCGATAGGTATTGACGAGACCAATACATTTCAGTTAAAATTTATCTAGCATAAAAATTGTGGGCGTCACAGGTTTTCGCGGTTTGTGGGCGTTAGAGTGGGCGTGGCATATTCGCGTAACAAACTTGCGCTGCGTATAAAGCTACGGAATATAAATCTGAAATCCCGATTCTCTATCTTTGATAGTTTCCGAGATATCCACGTTCATATTTACGATTTTTTGAAGTTTGTGGGCGGTTTATGGGCGTTAGGGTGGGGTGGGTCAATCGATAGGTATTGATAAGAACATTACATTTCAGTTAAAATTTTTACTCTAGCATCAAAACTGTAGGAGCCACAGTTTTGGGCGGTTTGTGGGCGTTAGAGTGGGCGTGGCACTCTACTGAAACAAACTTGCGCTGCGTAAGAAGCTCAGGAATCTGCACGCCAATTCTCAATAGCCTAGCTCCCATAGTTTCCGAGATCTCAGCGTTCATCCGGACAGACAGACGGACAGATGGACATGGCTAGATCGACTCGGCTAGTGATCTTGATCAAGAATATATATACTTTATGGGGTCGGAAACGCTTCCTTCTGCCTCTTACATACTTTCCGACGAATCTAGTATACCCTTTTACTCTACGAGTAACGGGTATAAAAATCATAAAAAATAGAAGTATACAAATTTTTGTATGTTTGTATGTATTTAACTTTTGTTTCGTCAAAATAAAAAAAAATGCCGACCAGTGTATTTGTTTCACTTGGTTTTCCAAATCTCTTTACTCTGGCAATGCTGAAACACTTATAAATTGGTTTTTTAATTTTTGCTCATCCTCTATGGTTAAAAACATCTCACGAACTTAATAATATTAGTGTAATTACATAGTCAGAACGATACGAGAAATCGACTACAATTGTATGTAATATTTACGTAACGTCACATGTGAGATTTGGCCAGTTCGTCATCTTTCCCTACTCTGCACCTTACCCTTTCTAATGCCAGGAAGTTATTTTATCAAAATTCCAACAATCGAATATTATATCCACAAAGCTACTTATTTACAATTTTTAATACACTAATTTTATATCTATTGGGTTGCCTTCTTTTATCTAACTTCTACACCGTCCCCTCCGATGACTTTCAATTTTAAGTAAACGAAAACTACACTCTTAAGTACTAATTAGGAAGGCACTTGACAGTTTGAAGAAAACCTCCGACCAAGCATAGCTAAATAACAAATTTTATAGATTTATGTGAAAATGATATAAAATCAAAGATCATAGAAAATCTTAATTTAACAACACGCTTTGTTATGAATTTTGTTAAGTGCCCCAAAATTTGGATCGTGTGCACAATGCATTTGCTTTTTGCCAAGCCGTGCTCGGGATGAGGCCAGTAGTGCCTTGTATAAATTGGACTGAGCAATTGTGACTACGTGCCCACAAATCGCTTTTGCTTAATCAGTGCAAACCTTTTCCGGTTAATTGATTCTTTCTATCGCGAGTATAAGTAATACTTTTCGAAAACAACCTGAACATTTTGTCAAAATATATTCCGTTTTTAGAGCCATCGACATTGTCTTAAAAGTTTTTTAGAGAATGTGGAAATTGAATTAACTTATTAGCTTTCTTCATTTTCCGGTGTTTTTCCATGTTTAAAACTGCATCTGTACCAATCTAGGGGCAGTAATTAGATAACAGCCATCTTCACTTTGGATCTAGGATTAGCTTATAGCTGAAAACGCCAGCAGAAATTTTCTTCGAATTGTCCCTTACGCCTCATTTGAAATTTTCCAATAATCTTGAGGAGTTTGGCATTGCCGAAGTCAATGGCTAAGATGCGGCAAAGTTTTCAATTGCGCTTGAACGATCTGCCACAATTGAGGGAGCCACGCGTATTTCCACACCCAAAGCTGTGGTGTACACATGGGGATCGCAGTCCAATGTACTTTGTCATCCGTAGTAGAACTGTGAGCCAACGGCCACGCCGGTTGAGAGAGTGCGTGGGGCGGTGCCGTCATATGAAAGATGCGGCTGCAAAATACTTGGCTTTGCCCGTCGCAATGTCGATGTGCCCTGACCAGGTATGGACACATTATTTTGTGAACTGACATTCACTAGCGGCGGTTGCGGTTGGTGCGCTGGCGAGCTTCTAGTCAACAAGGACGCCGGTGTTGGGGTGCTCTTCTGCCGTTGATGCACACTTATGCTGTCGGGGTTAATGATATACCCACCACTGATTGAAGGCGCACTCGTATACGGGTCCAGCGAGGTAATGGGTACCATTGGACCTTTCAAGAGAAAACGACATTGAAATAACAATCGAAGTACACCGGTGAGATTACTTACTTATTGGACTGTTACTGGGGGCGCTAGTTCCAATCACAATAGCTGAGGTCAGAATGCCCGCTACTGGACCCTGACCGCCTGCACTGCCAACACTCGTGGTGACAAAAGGTCCCTGCGCTACACCGATGAGGTCAGGTGACTGACGACCCGCCATTAAAACTGAATTTGGCATAAGCTCGGCGCCAGGTCCTGGGCAACTCACCGGAGGTAACTGGTTGGGGGACAAACCAGCGTAAAGGCTACTAGCTGGAGCGTACGTCAGGTAGTTCTAAGTGGGGGTAGGTAAGTGGGTGGACGGTGAAGGCTCTTATTCAATAGTACCTACCTCATTTTTAAACACACTGGGTAAGGGCAGTGGAGTTTTAATGTCAATGTCGGCGTCTATTTCTGAGATTGTATCGTTTAAACCGCTCTGGATAATTGTCTCCTCAATTGCTCTATCCCTTCCTTTGGCCAAGGAGCTTAAGTGCGCATCAGTAGTAAGATCGCGCTTTTGAAGCACTAGCTTAGTTGCGAAAATGATTATAGAGAAAAGCACTCCCAGTGAGCCCAAGACAATAAGATACAAATATAAACGTTCCTGGTCCTCTGTTAGAATAAAACATCGAATAAAAGTGGATCGATATTGGGCGTGGAAATATATAAGAAACAATATATGAAAATAAGAGGCATTGTTCCCTAGGGACAAGTACTCTTTTGCCTTATTTGTGATTATAGTTCCCGCGGAAACAATGACCAAAAAACAAGACGAAACGCTATAGTCAAGTGCCACGACCACCGGATACCCGTTGGTAAGTTTAAAATTTCAATAAAAATAAAATAATAATTTGTAATATATCCATCCAAAATACGGATCCAAAAATTTTTGAAGTCGGGCCACTCATTAAAACGTATAAGCATCTAAAGTTATACCCGCTAGGGGGTGCCAGTTGTGGAAACCGAAATCTTTCGCTTTGAAGAGTTTAAAAGTTTCAAGTATATTAGACTAATTTAATTTAAAGCTGTCTAGCTGATAAACGGGTATTTGACAGTCGAGGCACTCGAGTATAACGTTCTCTTTTGTTTTATCGTTAAATAGGTCTACAGTCTGTCTACGAACTTTTTGTTGTTTTAAATGGCATACCTTCCAGACTCTGGTCAGCACTGTGTGTCATCACAGGATTCACGCCACTTTTATCGCCATCTATAACCTGGGATCTGTTCATTATGGTCTGGTTGCTCGACACGTTAGCACTGGACCCCGACCCGGCTGAGCTGGTGCCATTACCGCGTCTTGCCGTTGTTGTATTGCTGTATAGCTTAGGAATAGCTTCTGACTCCTTGTAGATCAGCTCATCGTCGTATAGATCATTCATATCGCCGTCTAAGTCCTCAGCTTCGTCAGGCTCTACTTCCGACTCCTTGCTATCTTTAAGAACTTGTTTTGGCACTGTACAGGAGCAACAAGAGAGGAACCGCAATTGAAATTACGGAAATAAATTGAATATTAATCGGCATCTGACTGCCCAAGTTTAATTTAGTATGTAGAGATGAAGCTTGACCTTTGTTTCTCACTTACCGCATGTATAAACAACCTTTAAGTACATTCGAGAGTTGGGTTGGCAAGGGCTTCCAAATGTGTTCGCGTCTGCCGCCAGGTTGCATCGCCGTCTTCCATGGCAAATTTTCATCACGGTCTCCGTGGCATATGAGGCGAGACACGCTGTATAAGCAAGATGTGAATTTCAGGGTTTATCAAACACAAAAACTATAACCATTCTTGTGTAGCGTGTAAATAAGGAATGTCTTTCTGGGCATTTAATAAAACAAAAGAGAAGCTAGCTTCGGCAATCCAATGATGATATACCGTTGCAGCTTAAATGCTATCATGCAGTTAAAATCATACAATGTGCGTTTAGAAACAGTATATTCGGAATCTTAGTATAAAACAAGGAAGAACGCTATAGTCGAGTACCACGACTACCAGATACCCGTTACTCAGATTAAGGGACCAAAGGGAAATGGAGATATGCAAGCAGCAAAGCGACATTGAAATGCGCCACCTACCCGCGATCTCAATATATGGTTGTGTGGGCGGTAAAGTGAGCGTGGCAACCTTTTTTTTGGGTCAATCGATAGGTATTGATGACAACTATACATTTAAAATTTGTATTCTAGCATCAAAGCTGTAGGAGCCACAGTTTTGTGCGGTTTGTGGGTGTTAGAGTGTGCTTGGGACCCTTGTGCTGCGCAAGAAGCTCAGGAATCTGCATGCCAAATAGCAACAGCCTAATTTTTATGGTTTCCGAGATCTCAGCGTTCATCCGGAGGGACAGACAGACGGACATGGCTAGATCGACTGGGCTATGGAATCGGAAACGCTTACTACTACCTGTTACACACTTTCCGACGAATCTAGTATACTCTTTTATTCTACGAGTAAGGGGTATAAATATATATTCCTGTGACAGCTATATGACACAATTGTCTGACGTTTTCAAAAAAATGTTACGCTATACCCCAGAGTAAAAGATAATGTTTATTTTTTTTCTTATAGCTAACTATGGGAAGTTATCTTTTGGATATAAACGCAATACATAACAATATAATTAAAATGCTTATTTTAAGGTGGCATTGTTGATCATTTTTAACAAACATATACATTTATGGCTTTAAGAAGGTGTATAATCTATGGAGGTTTCAAATGATATGCTCGGATAAGCTAAGTTATAATTAGTACTGTAACGACCTGGATTTATTAGTTTGCTCTCTACGAGATTCTTTCGGTTAGATCAGTAGATTGTGCGTTCGTGCCACCGAATTAATATCACGTGACTTCTCCGTACATCAGTGATATAGCACAGAATTTAAAGGTTTACAGTGGATTTATTTTGGGTTGACTTATTAAAGCGGATGGGTGGCTCGGTTGGCATCGGTGTCGCTACGCGATGACTGCATTGGGTACTGATGTGGCTCTTGGACTCGTTGACCGCTGACTCCGTACACCTTCCTAAATGCTCCTGTTGTCCCCCGCCTGTGCTCGCTCCCCGACGCGTTGACTCGAAGTCGCTTCTCTCGCCTTGGACTCGCAGAGAGATCGGCCGCGCGGGCCGAAATTAGGGTGAACAGGTGCTTCTCTTTCCAGGGCAACGCCTTCAAAACAACGACCGCCGTCAAGGATTACGCCAGAAAGCTGCCTGGCAGTTTACTCCGCTTTACGCCTAGGGCAGACGAACGTTCCACCCTTGCCTCATCCTATTGCTTGTCGTCCGCGGCGTTTCTGTGTTACTCGATGAGTTCTCCGCAGCTGTCTTGATGTGGCTGCTGATGATGCTTACTGCCGCCATTATCCACTGCTCTGCACCTGGTCGTGCTTTCTGTGAGGCTGGATGTGTCGTGATCTCAGGCTCTTGAGATTCGAGGTTCAGGGACCTGGCTTGCTAAGCCGCCGGGCCTCTCTAGGACAACGCCTCTTGAATGCTTCAACCGATCGACTGCTGGTAGTGTGTTCTCTGGCCCTCGGGGTTTCGGTCAGTTGCGAACTCCCAGAAACTTCGCCGGTAACCGCTGGGCTCTCCAGAACAACGCCTCTTGAAACCACAAACCGATCGACCTCTCGTTCCTCACGCCGGGACCTGCTCAGTTGGCAAGGGCACACCTTTTGCGCAAAGCCAGCTGGTGCTGTCCACTTCAGGTACAAAGTCCGTGAATCCTGTTTGATCCTTTTGTCCTCTGCCCACGACTTTTAACTTAATTTAATTCTCCTGTAGCATGTGGCACGCAGAAGCGCCGTTCCGCAGCTGAGATGTGACACTTCTTCTCTTGGTCCAAAGTTCAAGGCAGAGTCCGATGTGTTTCGTTATTTGCCTTTGAGCCCGGCACCTTCGCACTGCCCTCGACGTCTCCACTCTCCCTCTCTCCAAACTCTCATTCTCCAATCTCTCAATCTCCACTTTCTCTTTCTGCAAATTCTCTCTCTCCAAACTCTCATCTTCCAACTTCCTTGCTCCTCCTTGCTCTCGTTGAATCCCTCGCTGCTCCCTTTAAATTCTCCCGCGCCGCTCCTCCATATATTGCCACTGGAATATCGATACCCCAGCTCAATGTTCGTTAATGTGTTCTTTAACTTATTGCCGTTTCTCACTCTGGTCACTCAAAACATGTGTGATAGATTGCCCTCAGCTATCTATATTGCCACCTGCTCGTTGCGATGTTCACCATTTGCCGGAATTTGCAGTATTTTCTTGTGCCCATCGATCGACACTATCGGCCAGTGCCAATCGACCGCCTACCAATCGAGGCGCCCTCTTCCTCCTCGATGCTGGATGGTAATTTTATTTATTTTGGTTTTCACTCTTCCTAACGCTACAAGAATACTTATAAATTAGTGCGATAGTCACAATTTAATTTACTTCATTAACATAATAAAATTTTCTTAACTATATATTTCTAATACAAGACATTAAAACTATGACATTTGACATATGAAACGTTAAAATTTTAAGGACTAAGTTTTGTTTTAAATTATATACTGCTTTGAAGATGTTTGTGTAATTTCGTTTTGAATTGCGTGGCAGACTTAATAGCTTTTAATGGATTTGGTAGTTTATTCCAAAAACGTACAGCACAGATAAAAAAGTGTTTCTCAGCATCGGCATGTTTTACTTTTTGACAAATTAGATTGTTTGTTCTGTTGGAAGCGTTGAATTTTAGTTTACTAAAGAGATATTTTGGCTCGTAAGTTTTTATTACTTTGTGCAACAGTACTGGTGTTTTTTACTTGATCCAGACTTTTAGCGGCTTATCAAAAATTTTAAAAGTTGCATCAGAGATTCGATCTGGGCCTCTGCGATTAAATATATATCTCGCAACATTATTGAAGGCTACAAGGAGTTTGTGTTGGCTAGTAGCATCAGAATTTCCAAAGACTTCGACTCCATAGAATAGTAGTGGTGTCAGCTTAGTTTTCGCAATAAGCATTTTTAAATTTGTTGTGTCGTTAAGTTGTCTAAGTATCCCATAAATTTTCCCAATCGTACAATTTACGTGATTACTCCAGGATAGAGTGGAATGTATTGTAAACCCCAAGTTGCTCGCACTGTCTACATAGTTTAATTGTTGACCATTTACGGAAAGCTTTTTCAGATGATCTGTGTTAAAAGATCGGTTATGTATTACTATGCATTTTGATTTGAGGGGGTTTAAAGATAATCTATATCGCTCTGCCCATTTGCAAGCCATGTCTAATTCACTGTTACAGACACGAACACATTCATTAATTTGGCTAACGGGACAGCTTACATAAAGTTGGACGTCGTCGGCATACATGTGCATGTCACATTTTGTAAGAATATTTGGCAAATCATTAACATAAAGACTGAATAAGAGAGGTCAAGAATGGACACCTGCGGTACACCACGTTTTACGGACAGAATAGATGATTTAGATGATTGTGTAGCTACTAGTTGTGATCGTTGAGATAAGTAGGATTTCAAAAAACTTGTTGCAGAGGTTGAAAACATGTAAAGACGACTCAGTTTAGTTAAAAGAATTTCGTGGTTTACCGTGTCCAAAGTCTTACTAAAATCTAAAAGCGTCAAAAAAGTAATATTGCATCTATCCATTTGTAGTCTTATATCTACAGTGATTTTTAAAACAGCTGTTGTGCAACTTCTTTTCTTCCGAAAACCGGACTGTTTCTCAGATAAAATATTGTGTGCATCCATAAAACTCACAATTTGGTTAGCAATTATCCGCACAAGAACTTTTGGCAAAAAAGGTAGGATGGCAATAGGTCGATATTCTGTACCTGATTTGCTATTTTCCAGGATTTGGGAAACGTAGAGGTGGTGATGGAGCAGTTTAAAATGTGTGTTATAACAGGAAGAATTTTAAGAAGGATTAGTTTTAAAAATTTTGGATTATCTCTTTTTGGATTAATGCTTAAAATTGATTTAGGAGACGCGGCTATGCGCTCCACTCCTCCGGACCGAGCTGCGTTTCTCGGGCGCGTACCGGGGGGTCATCGGGATCTCCCATGCGTCCTCCACTGGGTCTTACCACTGTCGCCGCTCCTCCTCCTCGTCCTTCCACAGCTAGGCATGCCAGCGTGCGCCCTCCTCCTCGTGGGCCCTGCGCACCTTAGCCTGCCACCGCGCCGCTTGCTCCTCCTGCCGCCGTTGCTCCTCCTCCGTCCCCTCTCCCTCGGGGATCTTCCTGATCCCCGCCGACCCGGGTGGTGTGCGGTCGCCGGTGGGACTCGCAGCCTTCCGGAGCCGCCACTCCTTCCGGTCAACGCTGGGATCCTCCAGCGTCTCCAGCGCGGAGTCCTCGTCGGAGTTCAGGTAGGCCGGGTCGCCGACCATCCTTGCCCCGGTTTGCGTGCCTCCGGCCTGGTAAGTCTTGCGCTCATGTTGTCGTCGGGCTCCGCTTAAATAAAACGTCGGTTGTGCGCCGTCCTCTTTTCTTGTTGCCGTTATGTCCTTCCTTGCTTGCTCTTTTACGGCACAGCTCTGCAGTTTTTTGCACCTCCGAGTTCCTAAATATGTTGTGTTAGGGAACTTGCTTGTGAACTCTAATTTTAACCGTCGTGGGGTATACTTGGTCAGTATCCCTGGAGGACATCCTTGGGGTATTTTCGAGTGTATCCTTAAAGTTGCCTTGTGCGATATCCTTGCGGGGTATCCTTGATAACTCGGGCCCGGTTTTGTATAGGTGGTGTTC